AGACCACAACAACTATTGATGCAACAACAACTTTGACTTCCACAACCACCTCTCCAACATCCTCAGCTACAGTACCAACATCGACGACTGATGAACCAACAACAACTATGCCTGACACCACAAAAACTACCAATGCAACAACAACTTTGGCTGCCACAACCACCTTTCCAACATCATCAACTGTGGCACCAACATCAACAACATCTGATGCAGCAACCACAAGTATGCCTGACACCACAAAAACTACTGATGCAACAACAACTTTGGATTCCACAGCCACCCCTCTAACATCAACAACTGATGCAAAAACCGCAACTCTGTCTGACAACACAACAACTACTGATGGAACAACAGCTTTGGCTTCCTCAACCACCCCTCAAACATCCTCAACAATAGCACCAGCATCAACAACTGATTCATCAACCACAACTGTGCCTGATACCACAGGAATTACTGACTCAACAAAAACTTTGGCTTTCATAACTACTGCACCAACATTCTCAACTATAGCACCAGCGTCAACAACTGATGCAGCAACCACAACTCTGTCCGACACCACAACAACAATTGATGAAACAACAACTTTGCCTTCCACAACCACCCCTCCAACATCCTCAACTATTGCACCAGCATCAACAACTGATGCAGCAACCACAACTCTGTCCGACACCACAACAACAATTGATGAAACAACAACTTTGACTTCCACAACCACGCCTCCAACATCCTCAACTATAGCACCAGCATCAACAACATCAGATGCAGCAATCACAAGTATGCCTGACAGCACAACAACTATTGATGCAACAACTTTGACTTCAACAACCACCACTCCAACAACTTCAGCTACAGTACCAACATCAACAACTAATGGACCAAAAACATCAATGCCTGACACCTCAGAAACTACTGATGCAACAACTTTGGATTCCAAAACCACCTCTCTAACATCAACAACTGATGCATCAACCACAGCTCAGTCTGACACCACAACAACTACTGCTGCAACAGCAATTTTGGCTTCCACAACCACTCCTCAAACATCTGCAACAATAGCACCGGCATCAACAACTGATACATCAACCACAACTCTGTCTGACAGCACAACAACTACTGATGCAAAAACAGCTTTGGCATCCACAACCTCTCCTACAACATCCTCAACATTAGCATCAGTGTCAACAACATCAGATGCAGCAACCACAAGTATGCCTGACACCACATCAACTACTGATGCATCAACAACTTTGACTTCCACAACCACCCCTCCAACATCCTCAGCTACAGTACCAACATCGACGACTAATGAACCAACAACAACTATGCCTGACACCACAAAAAATACGAATGCAACAACCACAACTCTGTCTGACACCACAACAACTACGGATGCAACAACAAGTTTGGCTTCCAAAACTTCCCCTCAAAGAACCTCAACAATAGCACCAGTGTCAACAACTGATGCAGCAACCACAACTCTGTCTGACAGAACAACAACTACTGATGCAACATCAACTTTGGCACCAACAACCTCCCCTACAACATCCTCAACTCTAACACCAGTGTCAACAACATTAGATGCAGCAACCACAAGTATGCCTGACACCACAACAAGTATTGATGCAACAACTTTGACTTCCACAACCAGCCCTCCAACATCCTCAGCTACAGTACCAACATCGACGACTAATAGACCAACAACAACTATGCCTGACACCACAGAAACTAGTGATGCAACAACTACATTGGATTCCACAACCACCCCTCTAACATCAATTGCACCAGCATCAGCAACTGATGCATCAACAACAACTGTGCCTGACACCACAAGAACTACTGACTCAACAACAACTTTGGCTTTCACAACCACTGCTCCAACATCCTCAACTATAGCTCCAGCGTCAACAACTGATGCAGCAACCACAACTCTGTCTGACACCAAAACAACAAATGATGAAACAACAACTTTGACTTCCACAACCAC